TTTCCATTCTTGTTCTTGCTGACAACTACCAAAGGTTCGCCAAACCTTACGTTAGAATTCTTGTTATTAACAGATATCCAGGAAATCTGCTCTGGCGGCTGAATGACACAAGGGCACCACGATCGCACCACCTCTGTTAGACAGATTACAAGTTTCTAACGTATGTGACTTACTGTTCGTTACGTACAAAACACCATAGGGCTGTTCGGTAGTAGGTCAACAATCAGCTTCCCTTTGGACAGGGAAATCAAACACAATAAAACAGTAACAAAGGAACACAGGACACCACTGGAACAAAGAACTAAGGACATACTATACAACGTAACAGTATATAAACACGTGCACGTGAAGGGCACGCCTTCCTGGGCCCACGCAGCTCTCGCCCTGCCCTCGACCATTCAATATGCAGCCTGTGCTGCCCAGTACTGCCTCTTCCACCTGGGCAGCTGAGAAGCTCACAGCTAAGATTTTCACTCAATTTCAACAGATCACTAGTTCTGATTTTACTGTACCCTTTCTGGCCCCATATCACGTGGTTCTTGCCCTTTTATCCCATTTTAATAGGGGTGTGTGTGAACGTGTGTTAGCTGTTGATCCCAAACTCTTACTGTAAGCTGCTTCAAATTCTTACTGGTTTAAATTTTTTTTTACTGGTTATTGGTTTAAATATCTTTTTTAATGTTGATAATATTCTTTCATTATTTTTAATCATTATTTCAAAACTAGACTCTAAGGACTTACAAGGGTCTTGCTTCTAACATTTCCCCCAAAGGGTTTAACACTGCGCACACAGTAGGAACCCAGTAAATCCTGGCTGGCTGGTCAATATGTATTTTAAAAAGTCATCTTTTTGAAAAAGGCGAGAGGGAATAAAGCAGTGGTGGTAACAGATGTGTTAGGATGCTGAGGTTGTAGGTTTCCTTTTCTCTGTTTCAAATTCTCTGCATGGTACCTGTACCGTTTTTACAATTACAACTGCCTTATATTTTAAAACTCTAAAAAGTGATTATATGAAAAAAAAAAGTGATTATACTGAAGTGGGGTTCATTAGAACACGTTTCTTGGCAGAAACAAGTGCTTAACTGAGCCTCTTAAGGCAAAGGAAATGACCCAGGTAGACCTGGTGGGGC